TTATTAGCCCAGTCCAAGCAAAATAATAGGATGTTAAACCCTATTTCATTTCATCAGACCAAAATGTAACCACCATAGAACTAACAGTTCTCATTTGACCAAAATGTAACCACTGTAGAACTAACAGTTCTCATTTGACCAAAATGTAACCACCGTAGAACTAACAGTTCTCATTTGACCAAAATGTAACCACCGTAGAACTAACAGTTCTCATTTGACCAAAATGTAACCACTGTAGAACTAACAGTTCTCATTTGACCAAAATGTAACATCTACCTGTTCTTATCAGATCAAAATGTAACTAAAGTAGATCTGGTTTGATCAGGTCAATATGTACCCACAAGAGAGCTTCCTGTGCCAATCTGACCGAAATGTAACCTAAATATGTTTTTAATACAATTGATATTATTGATATTTATAAACAACTATTTTTCTATCAGTCCATTGACATTTCAACAAGAATTTCCACCAAATCTATTTCAAGATGTTTCTAGGCAACCAGGTAGTAAAATGGGAGGTTATATTTTGTTTCATATTGCTAGTTGGAGAGTGATTTTAGCAGTGACTTTAAGCTGATATTGGGTTACACCTTCCAGGAATTTACCATTTTAACCTCTTCAACAATCACTCAGACTAAGAGGCCATAGTCAATTAAATGATTGTTTTAACCTCTTCAACAATCACTCAGACTAAGAGGCCATAGTCAATTAAATGATTGTTTTGAAAATAAAATGAGGTTCCTGTTTTTCAGCACGGGCTGGGCTAATGAAGACAGGCATGCGGTGTGATATGAGGGGAGCAGTGCCACTACTCACTCTTATTTCAAATTCCAAATGTCTAGGGCTCTTTTACTTGCACGCCTATATGTAAAAGGGACCCTATCCGAACAATTAGGCACTGTCCTTGTTGGGCCCTCTGTCCTGCACGTCTGAAAACAGGAAACCAAGCGGGAACACCCCAAGCAACTTTCTCAGTCAAAACTGGGTGCGAACCTGAGACCTCGCGTTTAACAAACCACCATGCTTTCCTCCCCATTATGATGGGGGGTTGGATGGCTGAATGGTTAACACGTGCGCGCTGTATCATAATGCCTGTCATTGAGTCAACTGGCGTGGTTTCGAATACCCGGTTGTACATGACAAGGAATAGGGTCGCCTGTCCAACCTCGTGGGTTTTATCCGGGTCCTCTAGTTTCCTCCCACTGCTATAGACCCCTACGCGCAAGTGAATTATTGAAATAAAATTAAACCATGTGTTCATCCCGAGTCGAGTGTACGTTAAACTCCTTCTCTCTCTCTCTCCCCTATTATAATACATGTATATGTTTGTGATGTGTGTCGATCATACATAAGGCAGAGAAAACTCACTTGAATTCCCTACAAACTTATTTTCAGAACAATCAATTAATTGAATAGGCCTACACAGACTTATATTTCTGAGAATCTTTTCAAAGCGGGATGGTCCCTTTAAAGTTTTTTGTATGAGAAAGCACCTTTTTTATTAGAAAATATTTCTTTATGTTTTATAAAATAGGTATTTTTTTTTATAAAATAGGTATTTTTTTTTATAAAATAGGTATTTTTTTTATAAAATAGTTTTTTTTTATAAATAGGTATTTTTATAAAATAGGTATTTTTATAAAAATAGGTATTTTTTTTTATAAAATAGGTATTTTTTTTTTATAAAATAGGTATTTTTTTATAAAATAGGTATTTTTTTTTATAAAATAGGTATTTTTTTTTATAAAATAGGTATTTTTTTTTATAAAATAGGTTGTTGTTTTTTTATAAAATAGGTATTTTTTTTTATAAAAATAGGTATTTTTTTTATAAAATAGGTATTTTTTTATAAAATAGGTATTTTTTTATAAAATAGGTATTTTTTTATAAAATAGGTATTTTTTTATAAAATAGGTATTTTTATCAAATAGGTATTTTTTTTTATAAAATAGGTATTTTTTTTATAAAATAGGTATTTTTTTTATAAAATAGATATTTTTTTTTATAAAATAGGTATTTTTATAAAATAGGTATTTTTTTTATAAAATAGGTATTTTTTTTATAAAATAGGTATTTTTTTTATAAAATAGGTATTTTTTTATAAAATAGGTATTTTGTATATTAGAGTATAATTAAGTGGATATAAACTATAAGAGTATATACATGTACCAGATAGTGTATATATTAGCTTACTAGTATACACTCTACAGTATATATACCAGATAGTGTATATATTAGCTTACTACACTGTACAAATGAAATGAAATGAAATGGGGTTTAACGTCCTACTGTTCTGCTCCTATGCTGGGCTAATGAAGATGGGCAAACCCCATACAGTGTGCGATGAGGGAAATTTTGCCCGGGCAGCGGCACTATCGCCTACTCTTATATCGAATTCCAACTGCCAAGGGATCTTTTACGTGCATTCTAATGTACATGTATACACAGGACCTCGGTTTTTCGTGTCATCCGAAGGACTAGACACCTGTCCTTGTAAGGCCCTCTGTCCTGCGAGAGAGTTAGAGGGATAGGGTTTAATAGCCACTGGACGCAAACTAGGTCATTTCTCATTGGGATACAAAACTGCACAGTTTGGGATACAAAATGCACAGTTTGGGATACAAAAATATACAATTTAGAAAACAAACAAAGCATAAAGAGAAATATTTGGACCGTTAGAGTACAAAGTGTGAATGAGAAGAATATGATATCTATAATTCATGGTATATATGTTACATATTGTCCATGGCTAGTTATATATATTTCATGATATCTATTTAATTCATGGTAGATATGATACATGTTGTCCGTGGCTATAGTTAACATCGGTGAGTAGTTAGTTAGTTAGTCATGTGAGGAGAAAAATCAAGGGCTTCAACAGGAAGTTAATTGTCTAAAATTGTCATATATAGATATTGTATGTTAGACAAATTGCATTAGGCTGTATTGAATAGTAAATAGAACAATTACTTACATGTAGAGTATTCGTTAATTTGAATCTAACAGAGTTTTATTCAGTATTTTGATGTTTATTATAAAGTTGAGCTGCACTAGATCTATATGTGTATATTATACTGATTGAGGTGCTGAATAGTGAATTGAGGTGTAATTATATTGAATAGTAAATTGAACTGTAATAATATTGTAATAATATTGAATAGTGAATTGAGGTAAGGAGAGCAGTTTGTGAAATGAGACGAAATGGAGTTTATGATCCTACTGTTCTGCTCCTAACCTGGGCTAATGAAGACGGGCATACGCCATACAGTGTGTTATGAGGGAACTTTTGCCTGGGCAGCGGCACTATGGCCTACGCTTATATTAAATTCCAACTGCCAAGGGATCTTTTACATGCATGCCAATGTGTACATAGGATCTCGTTTTTTTGTCCCATCTGAACGACTAGACAGCTGTCCTTGTCAGGCCCTCCATACTGCACCACTGACATGGGGAAACCTCGTCGGAAACATTGCTTGGCAATGGCAGTATTGCCTACTCTTATTTCAAATTACAACTGTTGAGGGTATACAGGGCCTCAGTTTTTTTTTGTCCCTCCCAAAAGACTATACATTTTCCCTTACCACTAACAAGGGGTAACCACAGGGCCGGATTAACCATGGGGCACCATGGGGCACAGGCCCCAGGGCCCCCCACATTAGAGGGCCCCCCCACTAAAATCTCAGTTGCGTCCAGCCCCCTCCTCTAGAAATGCCATCATTTCATAGCACTCGCATGGATTGGTCCACTGAAATAACGCCAGAATGCGCTAATTTTGTGGCAGAATTTTATTTTTTTCTGGGGGAGGTACTTCTAAATGGCTCCACACAAGTGCCTGAAATGCCAGGAAATCACGTTTCCGGCCTCCAATTTCTGAAAATTTTCGGGTCGCGCCTTCGGCGCTCGCGGTGGCCGGCTTCAACGGCCACAGCTCCGCAGTCGGTGATCAGGGGCCCCCCACATGTTCAAGGCCCAGGGCACCCACCATGGTTAATCCGACGTTGGGTAACCACGCGGGCCAATGTCTTACTCACTGAGCCACTACAGCCCCCTGTATGTATGGTATGCCTTATATTATCGGACAGATTCTTATCCCCAACATTTTGATGTTTATTATTTTATTGACTGTAATACTGCTCATTTAGTTGACTATACAACAGATGTTAAAGACCTGTACAAAGCCGGGGGGGGGGGGGGGAATGACTGAATGGTTAGCATGTGCGCGTTGTATCATAAGTTCTGTCATTGAATTAACTGGCATGGTTTTGATTCTCTGGTGTAGGGTCGTCTGTCCAACCTAGTGGGTTTTCCATGGGTCCTCCGGTTTCCTCCCACTGCTAAAGACCCCTATGTGCAAGCGAATTATGGAAATAAAAGGAGAAACCACGCCTTAAAATCCTGATGACCTCTCTCAGCTATCACCAGCAGCTATTTGGGAAATTTTGCCCAGAATTCCAACTGTCAAGGGTTATTCTTATCCGCACCCCACAATTTTTGTCCCATTCCAACGACTAGACATGGTTCCTCCTTGCCAAGCCCTCCGTCCGGAACCAGTTATTAATCAAAAAATTAATGATAATTAAACATACATTATGCAAGAGCTAAATCTACCTATTGCAAGTCTTTCTTTAGGCCTGAAATGTTAGGTTAATTAACCTAATCAACTCTAGATGGCATTGCTAGCCTGCGATCTTTGGTGGATGGTGAGCCGATTTACTGCATAACTTTCCTTCACGATTTAACGATTAAAGGGAGACTATGCTGTTTATCGTACTGACTTTATTAATGATGATCGAGGCTAGGCGGAAATTTCAATCGCTTAGTTCTCAGTTCATCTGGATCAATTTGTATGAGATTTTCAGCAAATTGCCTTTACATTATCTAGTTTTTAACTATTATAGTGAGAACTGCCAACTTTTTATCGAATCTCCCATAATGTATCTTTAATTAAGAAATTAATGATAATCAAAATAAATTTAAATTTTATTTTTTTTATTTTTCCAGGTAATATGAAGCGAAGGTAATGGACTCTGGTGTCATCCAATGGAAAGATCTATTGGCCGAGATGACCGCCATCACACTTCTTACGTCGGATGGGTGGAGAGGAGTCAGGACAGAATACAAGACAAGAAGGGCGTGCAAATGTCACGCCCCGGAACCGGTCATGAACGATATACCCAACAGGATGGTAGAACAAGTCATCGAAACAGCGCAAAGATTTCAGAATTCAAATCCGGCGGCAAGTACCAGGAGGGGTATCAAAGCGATAATCAGACGGCTCCTGGATCCACCCACCGCTCTGGTTACCCATCCAGTAATCAGTCCAGCAGACGGTCTAGCACTCACTCCGTTCAACCCACCTCAAAATCAAAAACAACCAATCAGCTGCAGTCGAGGGATTTCATGGCAAACGAGAAAAGCATACCGACTTATCCAAAATCAGTTAATCAAACAAATAACCCAAATATTGATCCAGGACCACGGACATCCCAGAGAAATAAGAGACCAACATCACTCCAGGATATCCAGCCCTCTATTCACCAGGACAGATCTCCGGCTAAATACAGCACACTTCCATCTAAACGATCAAGTCTACCACCGAATACGGCACAATATACCGGATCCCACGCATTTAAACAGCCCGAAAAACATCAAAAACACTACAAACGTTCGATATCGGCGCCCCAGGGTAATGATGTGCATCATGGTGAATCGGCCATGCGACCCAAGGACGTTAAGTATAGCACGTTACAAGGACAGCGTCATCACGGTTCTCATTCGTCGTCTAATATTAAATATAGCACGTTACAGTCATCTAGGCGTAGTTTACAATCTGTCATCACCGAGCAACCAATATCAGAAAATCTGGACTTTGAGTTTATACAGACACCCGTTAAAAAGTCTGCGAAACCCGACATAGCCTCGTCACCCAGTAGAGTCTCCTTTCAGAATATACCCGTAGACAAACTGGATGATATTTCTCTAGATATAACATCCAGTCCCGAGACACCAAACTTCACACTATCACATTCCACCATAGAGAAACATCGTCACCAGGTTCAGCTAGGGTTCCCGAGTGCCCCCTATCATACTATTCCCCTCATTTTCCGCCAGAACACATGTTTTTCATGCTTTAGTGTTTTTACGTTAGTGTTTTTCTCTTTGTTGATATTTATACCATTTACTGTGATTTTCATCATATTTGTGCCTCTGTGTTTTATCGTTAAGCGTTTATTCGATTGTCTTTGTTTTTGCCCATATTGGAGAAACTGTTGTGTTTATTGTTGCCATGACCACCTGACAGGAAGCGAACACGTCTGGATAGAATCGGAAATGCAATCAACAATGGTCGCTCAGAGTTTGATAATCGTTGAGCACGGCCTGGATATTCATAAAATACGAGATCTCATAAATGTTCGATTAATTTCTGCCGAGAACCGACGAGGGAAGCGTTTGTATCCACGATTCCGCCAGAAGGCTGCGCCATTTTGTTGTGGTTACGCTTGGGTAAATGATTCAGACTTTGTTATCAATAATCACGTGTTCAACATGCCAAATTATATCAAAACTTTGGATGAACTTCAGGAATACACATCAGAAATGGCGTGCAAAGGATTACCCATGGAACATCCGCTCTGGGAAATTCAGGTGTTGGTCAACTATGGACAGCAGAAGGACACGGTCTTGTTGTTTCGGATGCATCCATGCATGACAGATGGCGTCTCCTTGGTTAGAATCTTAGAGCAAGCTTTAGTGGATACCCACACCATTCAACCAGCCGATCTGAATTTTGCTGGCACTTCAAGTTGTTTACAGTCTTTCAAAGCTTTCTTCCTCGGTCCTGTCACTTTTTTTCGTAAATATTTATGTCTTAAACGTGATTTTAATTTGATCCACGGTCGACATATTCATCCATCTGGTAAGACAGTGGTCGCTTGGTCGGAACCGTTCAGTTTGAGTGCTGCGACCAGAATAAAACAAGTAGCTAGATGTACTTTAAATGAACTTTTTTTTTCCATCGCGGCAGCTAATATGCGACGTTATATGCAAGTTAACGGAATATCGAATCCTTATAATATGCACTGTGCGGTACCAACAGATTTCAACACGGATCAGTCGACGATATCTATGGGAAACAAATACACGTTCGTAGTTCTGCCTCTTCCAACAAATATTGAAGGTGCTATTCCCCGATTATGGGAGACTAAGTTATCCATGGAACAGTTCAAATCCTCTCCCGAGGCAGCAATTGTGCGAAATGCAATGTGGTTCACCCACGCTACACTGCCAAAATCATCTTGCCATAAATTTTGGAGAAATATCTACAAGAAATGTACATGTTTGCTTTCGAATTTAGTCGGACCAAAATCTGTTCTAAAGCTTGCCAGTCGTGAAATTAAGTGTATAATATATTGGTTACCTCCCCTGGATGATATTGCTGTGTCGATATCGTTTATAACTTACGGAGAACAGATCCGAATGGCTGTCGTATCGGATCGATCCGTGTTACCTAATCCAGAATTATTAACAACAGATTTCTTTCATCAGGTAAGTCGGATAAATTTTGCTTTTATAAACACGTCTAGAATTGCTTCATGAAGTTGCAAAAGAGGTTTGGTTGACCAAATGGTTAAATGTGTCCACGTCAGATCAGACGGTCTAACATTGAGTCACGTGGCATGATTTCAATTCCCCACATATACGTGACAAGGAACAGGGTTGCCTCTCCAACCTCATGGGTTATCTCCAGGTCCTCCGGTTTCATCCCACTGCTAAAGACCCCTACATGCAAGTAAAGTATTGGAAAAACATTGGTCCACCTGTTAATCCAGATATGACCGAGATGGGGTTTAACGCCCACTCGACACAAATTAGGTCATTTCGGGACTAACATATGGTTCAATTTTATTTTAATAATTCGCTTGTGCATATGGGTCTTCAGCAGTGGGAGTCAGGGAGGGAGAGAGAGAGAGAGAGAGAGAGAGAGGGCTCTTTAGTGGGAGGAAACTAGCGGACCCGGAGAAAAACCGCGAAATTGGAAGGCAACCCTACTCCTTGTCACCGTTTCATTGGCTAATCCCTCACATCATCCAGAAAGCGGGTTACATAACAACTATTCCAGTGTAGTATAGACAAGTATAACGAAATTTTGAACTATAAAAATATGAAATGAAATAAGATCTGTGTTTTAATGAAAGAAAACTGTTTTATATAATTTAAATGGACCTGTTTTTATGTTTTAGTTGGAAACTTTATCTCAGCTGTTGGCTAATCGTAGAATACCAGGTGAACAGTTAAATCGTAAAATGGAGAATGCTCAACTTTTATCAGGTTTTACCTTAAAAGATCTCACTATTGATCAGGTATGTTACCTTATTTGGGAAGGGAGCTGCGGTGAGTTCGCTAACCTTGAGGTCTTGTGTTCGATCCTGGTGTACACATTGGCGTGTACGTAAAAGATCCCTTGGCAGTTTGAAAATGATATAAGAGTAGGCCATAGCGACACTGTCTGGGCGAAATTTCCCTTCTAACACACAGTATTTTTTTTTTATAAGCAATATTGGGTAACAGGCATAGCCTATATTAAACCCTTCTCCCATACACAGTTAGGTGTATGCCCACCTCAAGTAGTCCAGCCGGAGCAGAACAGTAGGACATCCCAGATCAGTTCAGCTTATTGTGGCAACTGCAAACATAAGGTGCTCATTCTTGAAAGACTCAATGTCATGAAGCGAGCCCTTTAGAAAATGTGTTAATTTAGGATTATTAGATAGAATTTTGTTAATTGTGGGGATTCCTAGATTGTTCTGTCCTGTGGTGTTTAAACTTAATACTGACGTGGTCATGGGGAATTACCTTTCGCTCACTTGGTAGAGGTGTATTGGGAATTACATTGTTCCTTTCGCTTACTTGGTACAGGTGTATGGATTCCATGCCCCGGGTAGCAGATTCAATTCCTGACACAAACAGCTTTAGTTTGTGATCCATTTATAAATCCCCTGACAGTAAATACATGTATTATTGGTTAACTGAATTAGCCACCATACGCCATTGATATCCAATTGCCTTTAGTGTTAATTCTCATGTCTTTGACTGACTCTAATATTTTTTCCAAATGGGTTTAAATAATTTCTACCAGAGATGGATCAACATGTGTCCATGTCTCGCTCAAAAGCATGTACATGTACATGTATGAGGTCCACCATGGAAACTAGAAGTAGCGTACTATACACCGTAAAAAATATCAATTCATACCCTCTTTGTCCAAAAAGTCACCAAAATGACCATCCAAAAATGGCAGAGAGAGAGAGAGAGAGAGAGAGAGAGAGAGAGAGTATTAATTGCAAGAACTACATTCTGATTGAACTACACATGGGTTGTCTCCCATTAGTCTTCAGTAGTACGACTTAGGGACAATTCCTGGTCAATTTGGTCACCAACTTCCGATACCTATTGCTATTCTAGGCTATTCGAATAATAGAATAGGGCCCAGTAATAAGGTCTGACTGAATGTTTATCTACATGTAGTGTGTGATGTTCCGGTGAACATACAGGGCCAATCTCAGTTTGGGGGGGCGCTGTGGCTATTTTCCGAAAACATTTCTTTGTTGCTCGAATTTTGACAATGAATCAATCATTAACTAAATTGAGTTTTCCACAAAGCTCCAGTTAAGTATTTTAGTATTCAAAACAAAAACTGCATTGTCTCATTCTCTGATGTTTGTGTCTGAAAAAATGGAAATACATTGCCCCAAAAAATGGCTGGTAGCCCCTTCCTCCCCCCAAGCTTCCGCCTGGCTCCTATGCCTATGGTAATAACAATTCGGGGTTGGTCGATGTTGTCAACAACTTACATGTATGTAAGAAATGAACCACTCCGTTCAGAGTATATACGATCACTTGTTATAACATCAACTAGATTACAATCATTTGCTGATAAAGCTTTCCGGGTATATGGTCCGCGATTAGGCAAGGAGTTATTCAGAATCGATTACTCAGTTTAAATCTCGACATAAGGCACACATGTTCATGATGTATTAGCTACGGTAGCCATTGACTTATTACCATGCTTAGAGCATGCACCGTGGATGGATTAAACGCTCTATAAATGTGCTATTATTATTTTTATTTTTGACATTAAAGGAGGCAAGTCTCTAACTCAATATCATCCACAGTCTTCCACATTGCAAACACGATTTATTGGTCAATTTAAATCAACATTGATGTTGTTATCTTACCGGGAAAAGGTGGGCTTCTGATATCCAAAAAATAAAAGACAAAATTTTAAAATTGGCACACGAATAACAAGCCAGAATGCTTTGGTGCCATTTGTAATGAAGCAACTCGATGAATGAGGCTAGAAATATCCCACAGGAGAATACCAATGATGTCATTGGAGAATACTACTGGTGTAGACTGGAATAACCAGATGCTAGAGATTGCCATTTGATTGAGACTTCTGGCGTATTTCGCGGAACATAACTGATTAGAAATTATAGTAAAAACAGAAACGATTGAATGTAAATCAGTTTATATAAATTCATATTACATTATTATATACGTTGCAAACCCATTTGTGTCCTTTTCTAGGTGCCAAAGAATGGAGATCTAGCTCCTTTAAAATAGGGCCCTGTAACAAAGTCCCATGGAAAGTTGAGTGTTTTTCGTGATGACCCAGTGACTGAGCCTCTCGTAATGAAAGTATTAAGTTATTATTTTTCTCCATTTTAGATGCAGTTACAGATGACTTTATTACAGCAAGAAATCCATGAAATAAAACTTCAATTAGACGCGAGTTCATCTCATCGAATAACTCATAGTGAGGCCCATTTAATGCAGAGAATTGAGAATTTAAAAGAACAATTCCGTGAAATCATGGTGGAGTTACGACAGAAACGAGCTGAAGAGAACGAATCAGCTGTAATTATTGCTGATGAATGCAATTTGGTAAATTTAAAATCATTGTATTTATGATATAGCCAGTGTTCACTGTTCAGTTAGGCCTATTTGAAATGGGGGGATTGGATGGCCAAATGCTTAGCGCGTTTGTGTTGTATCATAAGGTCTGTCAACTGACTTGTTTGAAAAACTGATGGTCATTCACTGACAGAGCTTCTTTTCTTGACAGAATTATTGGGTTACTCTTTCAATGTGTTGAGGTCTGTCATTGAGTCAACTGGTGTGGTTTCAATTTCCCGGTTGTACGTGACAAGGAGTAGGGTCGCCTGTCCAACCTCGTGGGGTTTCTCCGGGTCCTCTGGTTTTCTCCCACTGCTAAAGAGTCGTACGCGGAAGTGAATTATTGAAATTAAATTGAGCCATATGTTAGTCCTAAAATGACCTAGTTTGTGTCAGTGGATATTAAACTCCATCCCTCCATCTCTCTCTTTGAAATAAAAATAAATGGGGTTTAATGTCCTATTTTTCTAGACAAACGGGGGCTACTCAAGATGGCAGTGTGCTATGAGTAGCCGCGAACAGCTGGGCTACTGAAGATGGACAATGGGCACACACCATGCAGTGTGCTATGAGGGAAATTTTTCCCGGACAGCGTAGCTATGGGCTACACAGGACCTCGGTTTTTCATCCAATCCTACATATAATGACTATATATGTTGTCCCTTCCAGGCCCTCCGTCATGTATCATTGTAGGCTACCATTGTAAAAGAGAGAGAGAGAGAAATTGGGTTTAACGTCCACTCGACACAAACTAGGTCATTTCGGGACTAACATATGGTTTAATTTTATTTCAATAATTTGCATGCGCGTAGGGGTCTTTAGCAGTGGGAGGAAACCGGAGCACCCGGAGAAAACCCACGAGGTTGGACAGGCGACCCTACTCCTTGTCATGTACAACCGGGGATTCGAAACCACGCCAGTTGACTCAATGACAGGCCTTATGATACAGCGCGCACATGCTAACCATTCGGTCATCCAACCCCCCTCTGTTGAAAAATAAACAACTCAATTGATTTCTGATGTATAATGATTAAATTTTGAACAGTGGTCAGGAAATTAAATACTTGTAAATTGGACACTCATTATCAAAATTAATCAATCAGCTTTAAACTGGACACAAGTACAAATCAGATGACTTTGGTGTGATTAATGAATTTTTAAACAAATATTTGATATTAAACGAATGTGAAAGAAATTAGTGCTAGGTACACAAGATTACATGATACCCGGTATTATATCACAAAATTCCACCCGTATCTGGAAATTGACTTATTTTTTTAAAATGACAGGAAAATTTCATTTATTTTAATTCCATTTCAGGAAGATGAAACAGATATTGACAGGCCACAAAAACCATTCCGAAGACGAACTTTATCAATGTCATCGAGAATGTCGACAGCCTCGGTATCATCTACGGTGCGCCCTCTATCAACCACAACATCCAATCAGCCATCTCCTACTCAAACCTTTCTACCATCATGGCCAGAGTTAGAGGTAGTTTGTTGCTTTTTGCTTTCATTTCTAGTCCCATATCAGTTAAAGATTTAAAAGATGTTCTCAAATCGTCATTTCTTTTGTCTGTGAGACAAGATTTTGTGTTTCCTTTGACCATTTGACAGAACATTGTTCAGTATAAAAACGTTCAACAAGGCACCTAAATGTATTATAGTGCAGCCTGTTTATGCATTATAGGGAACTTACTATAGCAGGGCATAGTGCAGTCCTTGTGTACATGGGGACTGTGACTACAACAGGGCCCAAATCCCATTATAACAGTGCAACCTTTCTGTACATAGGGGTCTGACTATAGCAGGGTCCAAATTCAATTATAATAGTGCAGTGTTGTGCACCAAATAGGGATCTGACTACAGCAAGGCCCAAATGCCTGTATATTATATAGTGCAGTCCATTTGTACATGTACAGCACAGAGCTAAAACACCTGCTTACTTGTCCAAATAAATGAGTTTGGATCATGGTGTCTGACACTCATTATTCCGTTAAAGTAACACTGCAAATAGTGACTATTTTAAATTGGAAGATTGTCAAATATTTTGCTAAATTCAGCAATGGTAATAGCTAATGTGACAATATTTTTCTCAAAATATTTTTATTCTGGCACAAAATGAGGGCGTAACCTGTTGCTAATGCTAAAGGGAAATAACCTGTTGTTGATTATAAGGGGAGATAATTTAATGATACTGGGACTAGAATGAATATTAACTAGCAATATTAATAATCATCTTGATGAAACAGAAATAACAAACTCTTTCTTCTAATTCATCAATCAGAAATTACAGAGTTCAGCCGATATTTCTAGTCTGATTATCACTTGTTAGATGGAGCACAATCATAAATCCCACGATAGTTCGAATCTCGGAACGGGTTGCGACTTATCGCATAAGGTAACTGGCATGTATGTAAAGGAATACTTTACAGTTGGTATTCTATCAAGAGTAGAGGGGTTGGATGAGTCAAATGGCGTGGTTTCGATTCCCTGGTTGTACATGACACAGAGAAGGGTTGCCTGTCCTATCTCGTGGGTTTTCTCCAGTTTCCTCCCACTGCTAAAGACCCTTACACGCAAGCGATTTATTAAAATAAAATTGAACCATGTTAATCCCAAAGTGACCTAGTTTGTGTCAAGTGGATGTTAAACCCCATCTCTCTCTCTCTCTCTGAAGAGTAGTGCTGTCTGGGCAAAATTCTTCTCTTTAGTAGTGCACACATGACCCTTGAGAAAATCAATGCAGATTTAGCCTAACGATAAAACTTGACACCATCATCTAGGAGGTTTTATTCGTTTCTAATTTCCTGTTGAGGCTAAAATATTCCATGAAATCAGCAAGAAGAAAAACTTGTAGAAGTCATTGAGTTTGTTGTAAGTTTCATCAAGATGAATAATAAGCTGGCATCGAGCTGCATCATTGAACTGTAGTATAGTATAGAATATGATTTGTTAGTTTAAGCATGTGCATGTATGACAACATATACACATCTCATAAAACACACCTAAACATGCCAGTCATTGACCCTTTCTGGATTAAACTCAATCGTATAAATAATGCTGAAAACCCTTTATAGGTATCTGGTTTGACAAACACGAACATGTGAATTGTATACTCCTACATTGAAATATTTTATGGTCTCCCTGATCCATCTATTGTGGATGCTTTGGATGATAGTTATCATCTGATTGACTTTAAATATATACGCAGTGTTCAAGTTCTGGCGTCAACGTTTTAGAATAATTACTGCCAGTGTTATGACCCTTGATCACTTTAATGTAGTGGCTAAATTTAAAGTTATCATCCAAGTAATTTTATAAACAATGTTTATGAGAGGAAGAAGCTTATAGATTTACAACAATTTCCAATAACTTGAACAGCTGGCCGGTAACCTTTGCCTTACGGTTGTGGTTTCGATTCCTGGTGGGAGCGTATGTGGCTTGAAGATAGGGGCGCCTTCTCAACCTCGTGGGTTTACTCAGGTTTCCTTGTGTGAGCGTATGTGACTTTCCTTTTCAACCTTGTGGGTTTACTCAGGTTTCCTTGTGTGAACGTATGTGACTTTCATTTTCAACCTTGTGGGTTTACTCAGGTTTCCTTGTGTGAGCGTATGTGACTTTCCTTTTCAACCTTGTGGGTTTACTCTGGGTATTCAGGTTTTCTCCCACAGGAAAGATCCCCTGCGCGTGCGCTAAGCTAAGATAATAATAAAAATGAAAATAAGATTTGCCTGTGATATCACCTTCGGTGAAAGCGGATGTTACAACAGCGTCATTGTTTGTGTTCATCTCAATACAGCAGCATGTACGCTCGATTATCGATTATGAGACGGGTTGCTAGAAATTTAATGACATGCATACAAAAATGATGTCCTAAAATACTTTGACAGACTTTGCAACAATGCAGGACAGAGGGCCTGACAAGGGCAGTTGTCTAGTTGTTCGGATGGGACAAAAAACCAAGGTCCCGTGTACACATTGGCGTGCACGTAAAAGATCCCTTGGCAGTTGGAATTCGATATAAGAGTAGGCCGTAGCGCCGCTGTCCTGGCAAAATTTCCCTCATAGCACACTGTATGGCATATGCCCGTCTTCATTAGCCAAGGTTAGGAGCAGAACAGTAGGACGTTAAACCCCATTTCATTTCATTTCAGTGATCTTAGTTGCAATAAAATGTGAGTTACCTCCCATAGACCACTCGCAAATTTTTTGATTGGTCAATAAAAATAGCACAATTGTCAAGGGCAGATAATTTAACAATGTGCCTCCCCCATGAATGGACCCAGAAATTAGTGGAGTAGAACGGTACGATGCCAATGGGGATGCCGTGGATGTACTCTAATTGGCGACCACATATCTTTTAAGTTATATTTTTGTTACATCTGAACAACTGAGCACTTTTTTCTTGTCAGGCCCTTACTCGGTCTACACCAGGATTGAACCTGTCACATCCTTGTTAGTGAGCAAATTCTCACACCCACGGACCAAACATGGTTCCTTTTATTGTGCTCACATCCCTAAATACAATTCAAGGATTATATTGAGTATCAATATATGGAGATGGGGCAGTTAAACATACATTATACAAGAGCTAAATATGTCTATTGCACGTCTTTCTTTAGGCCTGAAATGATATCTAAATTATTAATTAGACATTAATTAACTTCTCCAGGCCTTAATCAACTCTCGATGGCATCAGATTTCTCCGATATTAAATAGATTAGAATGGTTCAGCGATACTTTGATTTAATCAAATATGGAGGACCGAGACTAAGCTTTGATCAACCAGTACGGTGGTTGAAATTATTGCACACGTCTGTCAAACCTTCAAAGGCTAATATCTTCGCTTGCAATAGAATAATTTGAATGAAATTTTCAAATTATTCATTTTACATCATCTACTTTCGAACTATTATAGCAAGAATGGCTAGTTCTTTATCTAAATCTTACATAATGTATCTTTAATTAACTTATCCAGACCATAATCAACACTCAATTGCATCGAATACTCAAGATTTTAACTAGATTAGAATGGTTCGCCATTTAAAAATTTAATTTAAAAATGAGAAAGCGAGGCTAAGTCTCCAATATACCAGTGCACTGGTTACCACAATGCACACATTTTGTCAAAACTACAAACAGTGATAATTTGGCTCAGAATAAAGTAATGTGAATATATTAATTTTGAATTATTTATTTTGGAACTATTATAGGTCAGCCTATATCTAAATCTTACAAAATGTATCTTCAACTAGAAATATCTGCTTTTTGAAACTTGCTGTGTGTACAAACCGATTGGGTTTTTTCCCACTCGTGTTATTTTTATTGTTATTTTTATTGTACCCAGTCGGTAAACATCACTCAAGGATTAGATTATAAGTTGCTGAAATGCTGCAGATGAGTCTTTGTATTTTGAAAGAGAATTGATAAGTTGCTCAAAATATCAGAACCTAGAAGTTTTGGAAGAAAACAAACAATTTATTTCTATTCTTTAGTCCTTAACAGTTGTGAGATATTTTTGATTATCTACATGTAGTTAGATGAATCATTGCTAGTGGTACTAACACTTATATTGTTACTAATGTTTAAATACTTGATGTAAGAGGCTATCCTACTCACCTAGCCTATTATGTTGATTGTTCTACCTCATTTGTCTCTAACTTCCAGTCTTATATCTAGATTATCAAGCCAGTTAGTAGGATAACGAAGAGTGACACAAACTACTAACTAGATAATTTTGGGTCTAATGTATGTTTCAATTATATTTCAATAATTCACTTGCTTGTAGTGGTGTTTAGCAGTGGAAGAAAACCTACGAGGTTGGAGAGGACGACCCTATTCCTTGTCACATACAACCGAGGAATCCAATTCAAGCCACCTGACTCAATGACAGACCTTATGATCCAACTCGTACATATTAATCATTCCCCCACATCACCCCCACAAAGGGCAATGGAAGCCTGCTTATTACAGAACTGTCATCAGATCAAAACTGACATTTTGAGTTATACATCATTGTGAACCATTTCCCATTAAGTGTGTATTTGTTGAAACATTAGTATAATTTTAATATGTTTGCTGCTAGTCATCTGCGATCATAACCTTTGTGAATATGAAGCATGAATTCATAAATCATGTGGTCAATTAATTCCACTCATTTTCACACACCATTTCATGTATGTTTTAGTCAAGAGAGAGAGAGAGAGAGAGAGATGGAGAGGGAGGGAGACAGAGAGAAAGGGGGAGACAGAGAGAGAGAGAGAGAGAGAGAGAGGGAGGGAGGGAGGGCGGGAGAGAGAGAGAGAGGGAGGGAGGGCGGGAGAGAGAGAGAGAGAGAGAGAGAGGAACAGTAGCCTAAGAAATTGGAAACTTTCTAGAGAAGAGCTAATTATATTTCAGCATTATGATTGATCGCAGTGCGCTATTCACCGATTAATTAGGTCGACCCACGTTTTGGCCACAGGATTACAACACAGGCATCTGTAACGTTTAAAAATCGCCCACGTGACTTAAAGAGGGCCACGTGAATAATTTTAGAAAGTCATCGCAGACTCGCTTGTCTACCTAGCGAAGTTTAGTGAGTATTGTCACTGCTTGACGGAACCTAGAGTGGTGAACTTTGATCCAAATTATTTAATTACAATCCGTCAACCCGTTTCTCACCTTGGTATTATTATATCTACTGAGGGAGACTCGATTTCAGACGAGTTATTTGCCCCTGAGTTAAAAATTGGAATCAGACTAGTTATTTGATAATCTTGCTTACGAACATGGACGTGAAATGAAATGAAATGGGGTTTAACGTCCTACTGTTTTGCTCTGAACTGGGCTAATGAAGACGGGCATACGGCATACGCCATACGCCATACAGTGTGCTATGAGGGAAATTTTGCCCGGACAGCGGCACTACGGCCTGCATCACTGACAAGGGGGAACCACGCCGGAAAATCTGAATGAACTTTCTCGGCCAATGCAGGGATCGAACACCCGACCTCCAGGCTAGCGAGCGAGCGCCTTACCCACTTAGCCACCGTGATCCCCCGAACATGGACGTAAAAAAACTTTAGACGTATACTTAGTCATAGCTTAATGTTATTTTTGAAATATTTTCCACGTTACATGCGCCTGTGGGGTATAACGCTAATCAGAGGTCTATAATAGGAACGGTAGACCAACGGTGGGTTCGTTTTGCAAAATTGTCAAAACGACTAAATGCCAAAAATGCGCGGTTTTGATCAAGGCCCGTTAAAATTATTCATCTTCTCCCTGATTTACTGGAATGAAATAAAAATTATTCTATCTACATTCTAAGACACGCAATGCAGTTTAATTAGGCCACCGATGTTTCGGCCACCAATGTTCGCCCCCTGACGTTTCGAAAACCTGTGACCTAAACATCGATCAAGCTTTTTCAACTACTAGCTATTACGGGTTATCTTTCTAGAAACGTAAGTGGTGCCAATGGTATCCAGACCAGTCGGACCAAAAAAAGACCATTCGGACCAAAACAGAGACCACTCGGACCAACCCAAAAGACTATAGCAGAGGCTCTCTGGTTAGGGGTAAAAATCATTGTGTCCGAAACGTCATACCACCCAGAATTTACATCTCAATTCAAATTAATTTTACTTTACTATATGTTTCAGGTACATGATGTGGAAATGGCCTTACAGTCTTCAAATAAACCAAGTTATAAAAAACATCGTCTGTCAACAATGGACGAATATCAACTAGACGATACTATCACAGAATCAGACGAAAGACGATATCAAACATATTAAGCTTTTTCAGCTTTCCCAAATAAAACAAGTTTTTTAATGTATTTAGCTTAGAAATTAACAACCCGTACAACCATTTTATGTGTTAAATATAGCCTACCTCAATTATATGACGTCGGTTGTAAATCACGTGACCTCTTTTGTAAATCACGTTACCCCTGTTGTAAATCATGTGACCTCTGTGGGTCATCATGTTACGTCGGTTGTAAATGCCATCAGGAGGAAAACATGTGACTCGGCTGAAAATCATGTGACGTGGGATGGAAATCATGTGACGTCGGTTGGAAATCATGTGACGTCGGATTGAAATCATGTGACGTCGGTTGGAAATCATGTGACGTCGAATGGAAATCATGTGACGTTGGTTAAAATCATGTAACGTCGGATGGAAATCATGTGACGTCGGTTGAAAATCATGTGACGTCGGATGGAAATCACATAGCAAAGCAAACAAAAATAATTACAAAACAAAAAAACAATACAGGCCCTTCCATTACACAGCAGTTTAAGCATAGACCTGAACATAATTGTTTAGTCCCACTTGATTTACGTTTTCCCCTGGTGAAAGAATTGTCGATGTAAATTTATTTTAAAATAATATAAGTTATTAATGCTACAAAGGAAAAAAGAAAAAAAAAGAATGGAGGACAATTGAATTTTATTATTCTGTATAAATACCCAATTTGGTCTTCCCTATCTGTCCATTACGTCAGCTATTGATGATACCATGGTTACGTTTAATTCGCGTATTTACGGTAATTACGAGCAAGCGGCAGAATTACGTCATATTTTCTACTGTTGAAGTCATCTTGACAAGTTACCGTATTTGTTTGTATAATTAATAATAATCTACTGTAGAACTTTCAATCTGAGGCCAGTCTGGTTTCCCGTGGGAAAGTTCCACGGGGTTTCCCGGCGTTGTTTCCCCTTATCAGTGGTGCGAGACGGAAGTCCAAACAGGGACGATTGTGTAGTTCTTTGGATGGGACGACAAACCCACGTGTACACGTGGATGTATGTTTAAAAGAACCATTGGCAGTTGGAAGTCACTGCCCGGGCAAAAATTCCCCCGTAGTACACAGCAAATTGTACACCCGTCTTTATTAGCCCGATTAGATTTTAAAACATCGGGCGTTATAGCCCATTTCATCACATTTTAACCCCGTGTTCGAATCCCTGTGTTGGTCGAGAATAGTCTGTGGAGTTATCACCCTTGATTCTCATTTGTCACCCAGTCGGTTCTGGTGGTGTGTTAAACTATAAAAACAACTCCATCTATCCTGGTGTGAGCATCATTCTCGTCCCCAAGAAAACCAAACGTCACTCTCAATACGTTTCAATCGAATATTAAAGGGGAAATTCAACCATTTTCATCATCAAGGTTTCCATAAATCTTAGATATATCTTCAGATCCCCTTTGTATTTTTTTTCTCGATTACAGAAATTGTTTATTATGTGTTACTCAGAGGATTATTTCTGCTTACATATTTCAAATTTATGGAAACCTGGTTGAAAATCGTTGTTCGTCCCCTTTAAGTTTGCACAAGATGTTAGTAGGACAATGTTTGTCGAATTCTAGCCACAATGGGGAAGACTAAGATAATTACTATTTTAAATAATTAATTGTAAATACTATTTATTGTATATTATTAAATGATGTATTATATTGTGACAAAACCAACAACAGTCTATATAGATAAGTATGACATTGTCCCTAAAATCTTAGAATTATCTTCAAAGTCCAAACAAAAACATTAAAGTAGGCATTGATGTTCGTTCGCAACAGACTGTAACTCCCTATGTTATGACACGCGACACAAACTAGGTCATTTCTGGACTATTATATCGTTCAATTTTATTTCAATAATTCGCATGCGCGTAGGGGTCTTTAGCAGTGGGAGGAAACCGTAGGACCCGGAGAAAACCCAGAAGGTTGACAGGCGATCCTCCTCCTTGTCACGTCGGGCGGGGAATGGAAGCCACGCCAATTGACTCAACGCCAGGCCTTATGATACAGCGCGCACGTACTAACCATTCGCCTCCCCCCCACGAGGTTGGACAGGCGACCTTACTCCTTGTCACGTACAATCGGGGAATCGAAACCACACCACTTGACTCAAGGACAGGCCTTGTAACTTGTAGACTGTTGTAAGTATTTAGCACATGTTTTATCGATGTATATATATATATATATTATATTGAAGGTATTTTATCTTTATATTATAATAATATAGAAGGATTTATATTGAATAATTGGTTTGAAAAGCTTCTGAATTGTTCATGGATTTTATTGTTTATATTATATATATATATATATAGTACTTATGTTGATGAAGACGAAGATGATGAAGATGGTGATGATGATGATAGATTTATTTCTTGTTTTAATTTTGAATTTTAATTGGCTATAAAATCAAATTATTAATTGCTAAAAGTTTTTTTTAAAAATCTTCAACGACTTTTTTAATTCGTTTTTCCCCTTTATTTCATGTTGGAGAACCACAGTGGCTAAGTGGGTAGGACGCTGGCACGCTAGCTTTGAGGTCGCGTGTCCGATCCCTGCATTGGCCGCCAAAGTTCCTCCCTTTGTCAGTGGTGCAGGACGGAGGGCCTGACTAGGACAGCTGTCTAGTCTTTTGGATTGGACGAAAAACCGAGGTCCGTACACATTGGCGCGCACGTAAATGATCCCTTGGTAGATGGAATTCGATATAAAAGTGGGTCACAGTGCTGCTTCCAGGGTAAAATTTCCCTCATAGCACAATGTATGGCGTATGCCCGTCTTCATTAGCCCAGTCGGAGCAGAACAGTAGGACGGTAACCCCCATTTAATATCATTTTATTTCATGTCGTCGGACCACGAGGAGTTGGGTGGGCGGAGTGGTTTTACGCATGCGCTAAAATGTGACCTGGTCGGCCAGGTCTAAAGATTATGGCTAACTGCAGATTTCATCAAGGTCGGAAGATGTAAGTAGGGTTAAAGTACATGATTGTTGACGAGATTGTGGGGTAGGGCCCCGTTTAGTTGGCCCTAATATTTAGAGCGCATTATTGAAAAATATATATACATAATTTAATCCCGATTGGATAACACCACGTGCGCGTTGTATCATAAGGTCTGTCATTGAGTCATTCGATTCCTCGGCTTTACGTGACAAGGAGTAGGGTAGACTGTCCAATCTCGTGGGTTTTCTCCGGGTCCTCCGCTCCGGTTTCCTCCCTCCTACGTGCAAGCAAATTATACAAATAAAATTGCATCATATGTTAGTTCCGAAATGACCTAGTTTGTGTCGAGTGGACGTTAAACCCCATTTAACTCTCTTTCTTTCTCTGCATTTCGCGGACAGGTTGGTGATATGGGGCTATTGGAAGTCCCTGTACCATTCGTTCTAATGGGGGTCCGTCAGTGAATCACTCCAGTTCTAATTCAATTTAGAGAAGCCACGTGTTAAATGAAAGACGACATATCGAAGTCACATCAAATAAACTAACGGATTTAGCAAGTTTTTTTACTTTCGTTCTAGAATTTAAGATTATTTCTTAATTTGATAACACCATTACATATACGCAGTTTTCTCAAAATATCGTAGTTGACACGTGACTTGATTATCAGGACTACGTTTACTATGTGATCTGTCCTTGTGTAGCAATATCATGGTCCAAACACTAGCGTTATGGTTAGTTATATGACATGGTGGCCATCTTGGACGCGATCTTGAATTATCTTGTTTGATCTGTCCCTGTGTATGGCCCCGGCATGATATTAATTTCAAACTCGTATACAAGATTTATTAGATAGGACATCATGTAAGGCTATGGAAATAGATGAATACGTCTCCAAGTTGGCACATTGGCAGCCCACAACGTCTCATCTAATGTCCGCAGCAAACTGTATCTGTAGTATCTTTAACTAAACTACTTGTGCAGGTTAGTTTATCATGCAGTACCGTGTCTTATCTTGATGATAATATCCCAAAATAAAGAAATTAATTTGAAATTGAAACCAGTTCATTGACAAAAAGTAAGGAGTGTTCCCTTTTTGATAAAATTCACATTTTACATGCGATACCTATAAGTGAAGAAATGAATAAAAGTTAAAATAAGTTTTTATCTAAGTGTCCTATAAATCATTACAAGATAGATAGTTTATCTTAAAGAACAGTTGAACATATTGATGTGTAGCTTATCTTAAAGGACATTTGAACATATTGGTGTGTATTGTATCCACCTAAGATAAAATTATATATATAAATTCAGTATCTTAGATTATTATCACTAGACACTAGGAGAAGATATATTTAGGGTTTGTGTTTACTTGTGTATAAAGGTAGGTGTGATATTGACGCCCGTGGTTGAAAGGGTGTTAGCAGGAACTGTATTTCCGTACATATGGAACACCCAAGTAATAAAGTTAAAAGGCATTTGTTAAGTGTATTTAAAGGCGCACGAGACAATAGGATATATTTTTTTCTAATGCTTTACATTTATATTTAATTTAAGTCTTTAATTGTGCCTTGCACAACTGGAAGCGGACTCGAGTTACACCGAGAATTAGACACACTCTACTGGCATGCTCCACTGACATGGGAATCTTTCCGGCCAAAACCAAGAGGTAGCCATTTCAGATAATTAACGCGTGATAAAGTATCGTGCAGGAACGAATTATTTTGTAATGTAAATGTCTTTTATGTTTTAGTTGGTTGAGAGTTGATCGGACAATCTTGTAGTCAAAATGGTCGGCATGATGTTGTCATTCCTGGTACTCCTCTGTACTGTGCTGTTTGTTACATCAGCAAACTTCCCTTTCAAGAATCCATCATTGCCAATAGATGAACGAGTGAATGATTTGGTTGGTAGACTCACCCTAGAAGAGATCCAAGATCAACTGGCTAAAGGAACAGGTGGAGCACCAGCTATACCAAGATTAGGTATAGGTGAGTATGTCTGGTGGAGCAACTGTGGTCGAGGAGATGTAGGAGCCGGCAATGCAACCTCCTTCCCAGAAGCAATCGGTTTAGCTGCAGCATTCAGGTAAAAACAAAATTCAATATATTTATCAAAATTTTAAGACTAAGTTTTCGGATTCATCTTACAAAGATAAAAACCCAATTTATTTCTGAACAAAATCTGGTGTTTTTTTCCCTTCAGCCCAAACTTGATATATCGAATTGCAAGCGCCACAGCAATAGAGACCCGAGCTAAGAATAATTATTTTGTTAAAACTGGGAAGTATGGTGTACACGATGGTTTGAGTTGTTTCAGTCCTATGATGGATATCTATAGAGATGCCAGATGGGGCAGGAATGAGGCAAGTAGAAAATACTATTAAAGGGCGCGTAACTCAAAGGTCTGTTTAATAAGACCAACTTCAAGTTTGGTCAAAGGTATTGAGATGTAAACAGGGCTAGCGATAATCCCAACTCTAACCCTAACCCTGGACCTAGCCCTAACCCTAACCTACAGTCTCGCCAACAATCACGTACCCTAACCTTATTAACAGCTCAGCGACCATGACAAAAATTGAGCCGGCCTTAACAAATAGATTTAGACATGCGCTAAACTCACACAATGGGATTTCAATCATTTTAATTATTTTGAACTGAAACATAAAACAAAAGCCAAATAGGCCAACAATTGAAGACGTAACTAGAGTAAATAAAGAAGTATAATTTAATTATGTTCAAAGACACGACCTATATTTTAGTGAATCAATTGGGTTACTTTCGTGTGGAGGACGGTTTGAGACCTTATACTCTTCTACTACATGAAACTCTGGTGTGTGTCGTCGAAGAAATACAACTATTAAACTTCCTTTAATCTTAAACTAAGGTCATAGATTTAGAGTTATTTATATCTGCCCAAATATATATACATATATAGTTTTGTTGTCATACATGCCCACATCTGCACGCACACACCCATACACACACACACACACACACATATATATATATATAATATATAGTTTGGTTTCTCATACCTGCCCACGTGTAATCATTTTGTTTTGTAGGGTACTTGGGGTGAAGACACTACACTTGGTGTAGCTTATGCCAGAGCGTTTGTTAGTGGTATCCAGGGCAACAACTCTCGATACTTGTTACTGAGTGCCACTTGTAAACATTACACTGTTTCTGGTGGACCTGACAGTTATCCCATATCCAGAATGAAGTTTGATGCAAAGGTATGTATAATTATCTGTGATACGATTTGTAGGGAGAGAGAGATGGAGTTAACGTCCACTCGACACAGACTAGGTCATTTCGGGACTAACATATCGTTTAATTTTATTTCTATAATTCGCTTGCGCGTACGGGTCGTTAGCAGTGGGAGAAAACCCACGAGATTGGACAGGCATCACTACTCCTTACCACGTACAACCGGGGATTCGAAACCACACCGGTTGACTCAATGACAGGCCTCATCGTGCTAACCATTCGGCCATCCACCCCCCACGATCTCTAAGACAATCAATAATTGGGAGCCGTGGTGGCTCAGTGAGTAAGGCGCTGATTCACAAACCAGGAGGTCTGGGGTTCGATCCCTGTGTTGACTGGGAAAAAATCAGAACGGAGGACCTGGCAAGAACAGTGTCTAATTATTCGGATAGGACGGATAAATTCAAGTCCCGTGCACACATTGGCGTTAACGTGAAAGAGCCATTAACAGTTGGAATATGTTATAAGTGTATTATTATTATTATTATTAACATTTATAGAGCGCTATCTTCCACAAAACGTGTTCAGATGCGCAGTACAATACAATTCAATAAAATATGTAATAAAGATAAATATACATACAGGAAAACTAAATAAATCTTTAGAAGTAAAACATAACATGGTAACGCAGAATAAAATCTCATATCACAAAAATGTTTTAAGAAGTGACTTAAAAGAGATTAAATTTGTGCAGCATCTTATATTAAAAGGTAAAGAATTCCATAATTTCGGTGCCTGGACGGTAAAAGATCGATCTCCAAAAGATAAAAGTCTTGCTGATTTATTTACAAGTAAAAAATGATCAGATGAAGAGCGCAGAGTGCGACTCGGTGTGTACATTTCTAAAAGTGAAGATAAATAAGAAGGTGACATATCATTCATACATTTAAATGTTAAAAGGAGGATTTTAAATTCAATTCTAAAAATAATCGGTAACCAATGGAGTTTCTGTAAAATAGGAGTAATATGGTCATTATAATTACTTCCGGTGATGAGCCTTGCTGCTGAATTTTGAACTTTTTGTAATTTGTTAGTGATGCGTAAAGGAGTACCAATCAGTAAATAGTTACATTGATCTAGACGAGAGGTGATGAGAGAATGGACAAGAGTTTTAACAGGTGACGTGGGGAGATTCTTCCGGATGCGGGCTATTTGGCGGAGATTAAAATAACATAATTTACAAGTATTATTTACATGAGGCTCCATGGTTACGTATTTATCAAATATAACTCCAATATTTCTAGCAGACGGGACTGGTGATATTACATGGGAACCTATAGATAAAGATACGTTGTAATTGACTTTGCTAATAAGATTATTTGAACCTAACAGAATATATTCAGTTTTATCTTCGTTCAATTTAAGAAAATTATTACTCATCCAACACCGAATTTCTTCAACACAACATTCGAGTTTGGCCTTACAGAAATTAAAACTATTATTTACAGTAGGTTTAAAAGACAAATATAGTTGAGTGTCATCTGCATACAAGTGGAATTCAAGACCATGCCTGCGAACAATTTTGGATAGCGGAGTTGTATAAATGCTAAATAAAATTGGACCTAACACTGACCCCTGCGGCACTCCATACCGAAGACCTTTGTGTAGGCCGTAGAGTCGCGGTCCGGTTATTAAATTCCCTCATAGCACATTGTCTGTCCGTCTTTATAAGACCAGCCGCAGAACAGTAGGACGTTAAACCCCATTTGACAATCAATAATTAAGTGTGATCAGATGCAAAATCAATACACCCAAAATGAAACTTTAGCCCATCCAAATATTTGAATACAGCGAGGAGACCAGACACTAAACATACCACTATGTGTGTGTGTGTGTGTGGGTGTGTGTATGGGTGTGTGTGTGTGAGTTAGTTGTATTTTACGTCCGCTTCCACCGAGGTGATATCGCAGACAAACCAGTATGTGACTAACCACGGTCTAATATACATAACGTAGAGTCTGCACTTCATGGATACTAAACATACCAGTATGTGACGTAGCACGGTCTAATATACATAACGTAGAGTCTGCACGTCATTTTAAAACCTACAAGATGATTCAAAATAGCCATTATATAGAATCATCAACTAAACAATAAATGTTATTAATCTCTAATAATATAGCATTAAAAAAACAAAACGAACCTAGATTTTATCAAAGAAAAGAAAACGAGAAACCAACGGACTTAGATTAAGCCTCTGCTAACTCTTAGAACGACTCGTGTGGTCTTTAGCAGTGGGAGGAAACCGGAGGTTGGACAGACGACCCTAATCCTTGTCACGTATAACTGGGGAATCGAAACCACGCCAGCTGACTATAGATGAACAGAGATCTTTCATGTTTAATTTTGCCGACTGACCAGTAAGTCTGAAGTTACTGGAAGGGGAGTCGGGCGGTAAGGGACAACTTATAGTCGTAGAGATGGGACGAAAAACCGAGGTCCAGTGTACAAATTGGCATGCACGTAAACCGTAAACGTAAGTTGGAATTCGAAATAAGAGTTGACCATAGCTCATAGTACACTGTACGTAGATTGGTTCCCTCTTAGCGGCCATTGCAAACGCTAAGAGGAAGGAGTGGTCCTGAATAAAACAAAAGAAATAATAGTTGATCTTGGAAATCTTTACCGACATTCACTGAAAAGATAGGTTTTAAATTTTAATAACTTTTTCAGTAAAAACAACAATTAATTTGAAACAAGAGGGTTCTATAGGTACATACTGTCTGTAGAGGGTTCTGTAGCCCTAGACTATCTGTAGAGGGTTCTGTAGCTCTAGCCTGTCTGTAGAGGGTTCTGTAGGTACAGACAGGTACAGTCTATCTGTAGAGGGTTCAGTAGATACTGACTGTCTTTAAATTTACAGTAATCTTTATAGAGATAAGTAAAACATTTTCTGGCAAATCTGAACTATTTAAAACATTCCTGTAAAAATATCAATACCTACATATAACTGTTTGTCATCTCTACCGCACAGGTAATTTACATAAAATTACAGATATTTGTAATACAGTGTTGATTTATTTGATAATTTTTCCAGGTTTCAATGAGAGATATCCAAATGACATTTTTACCAGGGTTTAAAGAATGTATAAATGCTGGCAGTGATGGCGTCGTCTGCGCCTACAACAAGTAATGTTTAAACTTTCAATATTCTGTCATCAATTCTGTAATTTTTATGATATCATTTAAAGTTTGGATACTATGTTTGCATATCTATAACATCTATAACACGATATATCTATAACATATCTATAATATATCTATAACATTTCTATATCTATAATATATCTATAACACATCTATAATATATCATAAAATATTTATAACATATCTATAACATATAACATGTCTATATAACATATCTATATCATATCTACAACATATCTATAATATATCTATATCATGTCTATAATATATCTATAATATATCTATATCATGTCTATAATGTATCTATAACATGTCTATAATATATCTATAACATGTCTATAATATATCTATATCATGTCTATAATATATCTATAATATATCTATATCATGTCTATAATATATCTATATCATGTCTATAATATATATATAACATGTCTATAATATATCTATATCATGTCTATAATATATCTATAATATATCTATATCATGTCTATAATGTATCTATAACATGTCTATAATATATCTATAACATGTCTATGATATATCTATATCATGTCTATAATATATCTATAATATATCTATATCATGTCTATAATATATCTATATCATGTCTATAATATATCTATAACATGTCTATAATATATCTATATCATGTCTATAATATATCTATAATATATCTATATCATGTCTATAATATATCTATAATATATCTATATCATGTCTATAATATATCTATAACATGTCTATAATATATCTATAACATGTCTATAATATATCTATAACATTGCATATCATATCATACCATAACGGGACAAGGAGTAGAGCCGTCTGCAAACCTCGTGGGTTTTATCCGGGTCTGCTGGGTTCGTCCCACTGCTAAACACCTCTACGTGCAAGCGAAGTATTGAAATAAAATTAAACCATATGCTAGTCCTGAAATGACCTAGTTTGCGTCGAGTGGACGTTAAACCCCATTTCTCTCTCTTACAGAATAAATGGTGTACCAGCTTGTGCTAGTAAACTTATGTTAACAGATATTTTACCCTCTATTACAGAATAAATGGTGTACCAGCTTGTGCTAGTAAACTCATATTAACAGATATTTTACCCTCTATTACAGAATAAATGGTGTACCAGCTTGTGCTAGTAAACTCATATTAACAGATATTTTACCCTCTATTACAGAATAAATGGTGTACCAGCTTGTGCTAGTAAACTTATATTAACAGATATTTTACCCTATGTCTCTCTATTACAGAATAAATGGTGTACCAGCTTGTGCTAGTAAACTCATATTAACAGATATTTTACGAACTGACTTGGGTTTTAAAGGCTATGTTATTAGTGATGCTGGAGCTATAGAAGGAATGATCAACAATCAGAAGTATTATAACAATACAATAGATACAGTTGCTGGTAGTTTAAATGCTGGATGTAATATTAATGCTGCTGGTGGAAACACTAAAGATAATGCTTACTATTCTATGCGTATGTATTTACATAATACTCGCCTCTTTAAGTTTTGTTTGGACCAGGAACTGAGGCTTGTTTCACGAAATTTTAACTAAGATAAAATCCAAATTATAGTAATTTGATTGAATAATATTATTCAATGAAGTACCTACTACAATTTGGATTGTATCTTTAGTTAAGATTTCGAGAAACAGGGCCCTATTCACTAATCGCTACTCATCATGTTCTTCTTGTTCCTGTTCTTGGGGTGACGATCTTCGAAATAGAACTCAGATAACGCATAGCCGTTCGGATGGGACGATAAACCGAGGTCCCGTGTACACATTGGCGTGCTCGTTAAAGATCCCTTGGCTGTTGGAACTCGATATAAGAGCAGTTCGTAGTGCCGCTGTCCGGGCACAGTTCCCTCATAGCACACTGTATGGCGTGCACCCATTCGGAGCAGACCAGTAGGAGGTTAAACCCCATGTGGTAATATTTATTTCAGTTGATGCAATCAAACAAGGTAAACTCACAGAATCACTGGTGAGAGATTTGATCAGACCATTATGGTATACGAGAATCAAGCTGGGAGAATTTGATCCACCAGAAATGGTTCCTTATAAAGCATTAAACCTGTCAGTTATTCAAACACCAGCCCACCAAGCTCTGTCAGTTGAAGCAGCCATGAAATCTTTCGTTTTGTTGAAGAATGAAAATAGTTTTCTGCCGCTGAAAAGAACAACCTATGACGTTGTAGCTGTAAGTATGAACTCGCACAGTATCTTCTACAATGGCAGTTGGAATTCCATATAAAAGTCGCGCCGCTGTCCGAGCAAAATGTCCTGCATAGCCAAGTCAGAGCAGAATAGTAGGACGTTAAACTTCATTTTATTTCATCAGATTCTGAAGGATGTGGTTAGTGCCAGGAAGGGGGTGTTATCGCCGGCAGTAACGAATGTATACAATGCCATGGTTTCCCTTTTCACCCCAACGAATACGCGATCACGCTTAACATGTCAACTCCACACATATTGTTTGTTTATAATTGGGTAAACTGCGATGGCTCTCTCGGTCATCATGCGTGTTTTAGACCAGAGTTGTTTTAGTCGTGAGAGTACCACCCTAACTACTCACCATCCACCGGCAGCTTGCATCTAGTATTACCCTCATACAAATTGTATTAGCAGGAGAATATGATGCTAAAGCTTTACTCTTTCATTTCGTCTTATGTTTAGGTTATAGGACCAATGACAAATAATCCGCACGCACAGACAGGAAACTACGCACCAACGGTCATGCCTGAATATACCACGACACCTATCGACGGATTATCTCCACTTGGTAACACTGTAAGATCAACACCTGGTTGCCTTGGTGATAATAATTGTTTTGAGTACAATTCTACCGCAGTAAAAAGGGCTGTCCGTGGTGCTGATATAGTCTTTGTATGTTTGGGATTAGGTAAGTCAGTCATGCTGAGCTAGTATTTATGATATGTCTCTACTTTCAATATATACTAAAATTACTCTACTTTTATTGGAAATAACCAGCCGATAAATACTTTTGTGGGAATGCATCTTTAATTGTAGTGCTAAAAGACAACGATGTTCCCTTTGTTTCGGTCACTAATGGTGTACATGTATGCCTTTGTTTTAGTACAGCAATGGTCCTGATATTCGCTTTGTCTGATAAGCGACAATAAAGACGAGAGTATCCTCGTCAAAACGTCGCTTAGTGTTAATCTCAGTATTTTGTACCTTGTGTTAATATGTTCAATTACTAAATGCCAATCAACCAAGATGACAGTGATTATGTTTACTTTACCAATCATTTTTTTGGTAAGTTGCTGAATAACAAATATACTATTCCAAAAAAGTAGGGGATATTTGATTTTTAAGTGTTATTAAAGTCACCTAATGAAACTGACGAAGAAACAAATGACAAAATGAAATGAAGTTCACATTCATCGATTTATTCCAAATGATCGTTAGACTAAGTAAGGCACAGACTGACCATTATAAGGGTAAAATGATACCCGGGGTCAAACAGCAAAGTTACCACAGCATCACAACCAAGTCAGTAACGGGTAAATCCTCCTCTGTTTGCCAAACAAGCATTGATCCGACGTGGCATACTCCTAATGAGACGTCTAAGGTCATTTTGGTCCAGATTGTCCCATTCCTGTTGCAACGCAGCAGCAAGTTCTTGGACATTGGCAGGACGTTGTTGACGTTGACGTAACCTCTGTCCAAGCATGTCCCAGACATGCTCGATGGGGGAGAGGTCGGGACTCAGTGCTGGCCAAGGTAATGTGGTGATGTTCTGTTGTTGGAGGTAACCTGTAACGATCCTGGCCCTGTGACATCTTGCGTTGTCATCCTGGAAAATGAAACGGCGGCCATGACGTCGTGCGAACGGCACAACATGGACTGCCAAGATGTTGTCCCGGTAGTACTGGCCTGTAACACGCCCTGCAACAACATGTAAAGCCGTTCTTCCAGCAACAGTGATGCCTCCCCACACCATAACAGAACCACCCCCAAATCGATCATGTCTAATGACGTTAACGTCTTGGAAGCGCTCGTTTCGACGACGCCACACCCTCCTACGTCTGTCCAAAAAATCAACAGTGAACCTTGACTCATCTGAAAACATCACATTGCTCCAGCGTCGATTATCCCAGTGTTGACGATCCCTACACCAACGACGTCTTGCCTGAATGTGATGATCTCTCAAACAACGGATCACGCGAGGACGTCGGGCGCGAAGGTGACCCCTATGCAGTCGATTCCGAATCGTCTGGCCACTCACTCTCACACCAGTGTCTGTTTGAAGACGAGCGCTGATCTGATTTGCTGTGATAACACGATTTCTCAAGGCCAAGGTACGGATAAATCGATCCTGGGCTTGAGTTGTCGCCCTTGGTCGACCTGAGCGTGGTCTGTCCTGTACAGATTGTGTATCACGGTATCTGGACCATAGCCTGCTTATGACAGACTGAGAAACATTCATCGTCCGCGCCACAACCGCCTGTGTTGTGCCGATCTGTAGCATGCCAAGGGCACGTAACCTTTCATTTTGGGTAAGCCGACGCATATCAAAATTTGTTTTCTGGTCACTAAAACAATTAAACTGATGTTTCCACCCTGGAATTCAATGCCACAATGACTGTAACATTCAAAGTCAGAGTCGTGCAAATCTTGGGTTGGACCCCCATGATGATCCCAAGCATCACCTGCATTCCATGCGGTAGCTATTGGTGCGTTTGGGCGTCACATGTAACTGGAAATGTTTCTTCTGTTAGGTTCTATAGTGATTTTTTTCGTAGTCATTTGCATATTTTAGTATTATGCCCCCAAAATCAAATATCCCCTACTTCTTTTGAATAGTATAGTACTGATTTTGTTCATCAATTAGTAGGCCTAAGTAGGCCTATAAAACCATGCCCATATTACCTTTCTTGTGTAGTAAAACATGCTGATATTACCATATGTGTTGCTATTCCTTTTAGTGTTTTACTAACGATATTAATATTACAGGAAATGACGTAGAGAAGGAAGGTCATGACAGATGGAACATATCATTTCCGGGTCATCAACTGGATATTTTAAAAGACGCTGTTGCTAACAGTAGGTTTTCCGTTCTATAATTTATTTACTGTCATATATTTTCATAGTAAACAACTTTTTATTCAATATTTAGATTAATTATAACATATTGTTTCGGTAAAGGATCTGGCCTCCGTTTTATCTCTCCTTATATTATAAAGTTTTATTACTCATATCTGCCCACATGTACTTAAATATAAAGTTTTCATTCTGATTTCTACCCAAATAAACACATATATATAGTGTTCTTTCTCATATCTGCCCACATCAACGTATGTAATGCTTTTGTTTCCCATAACTACACATATTCTTCTTCCCCATATCTACCCACATATATTTTATTAATTAATATAATTAATGTATCTAGACCCTAAATCTTGCCTCTATTTACAGGTCCACCGAACACACCTATAGTCTTAATTATGTTTAATGCTGGTGCCGTAGATCTACGATGGCCAGATAGTAACGATAGAGTTACCTCTATATTAGAAGTATTTTACCCATCCCAGGCTACAGGTGTCGCTCTATATAACGTCATCACTATGAAGGCCGGAAGTGATTCAGTTCCTGCTGGACGTCTTCCGATTACGTGGCCAATGAGCGACGATCAGGTAAACACCAAGCCAGAAATGAATTAATGTATTCTTATATTTGAAATCTAGACACGCCTTATAGAACTAACAGCGATTATCTTATTAAAAACGAGGATGGGGGTCGAATTAATCATTGATTAAATATGGTGGTTATTTCTTTTAAGAAAAAAACTATCCCTACTGTCCAATGAAGAGATTGCAGTGGCTAAATGACTGATATTATTTTGTATTTTTACCAGATTCCACCAATCACCAATTACAGTATGGAAGGAAGAACATATCGATATTTAAACACAGAACCACTTTATCCATTTGGTTATGGTTTATCATATACAACATTTAAATATTCTAACTTAACATTTTCTCAAACCATACCAGCTGGCTCAGATTTCACTGGTACTGTTGATGTCGAAAATACTGGTACTGTTGATGCTGAAGAGGTAATTAAACAATATTTTTATATTAGAACAAATGTTTTTTAAATGAAAAATAGTATTTGGTGTTCTAAGAACAGAGGTGCATAGACTGCATTTGTACAAATTAAATGATTTTAGATTGAACATTGTTAGTAACTGTTCTAAGAACGCATAACATGCACAGTGCGGAGGTCTGTAGGTGTGAATTTCTAGAAGTGTTTCTTTAACCTATATTCGTATTAGTTTTGACCAAATAATAACTACTCAACTAATGTTCTTCATTTTAAGGGTTAGGTTTAGGGTCCAAGTCTACTATGCATTTATTTGAACATCCAGGTATATGTTTTGTTATATAATGCAGGTTGTTCAAGTCTATTTTTGTTATATAATACAGGTTGTTCAAGTCTATTTTACGTGGAACCTCCCGACTGTTACAGCACCGAAACGTCAACTGGGGAACTTTTCCCGCGTTTTTATACCGAGTGGTGCCAGAATAACTGTTCCGTTTACAATTAAAGCCGACATCTTTTCAGTCTGGGTTGACGATTCTATCGGCTGGAAGATCGAAGATGGTAAGTAATACGAAAAATTAACATAAAGGCCCTATCGTCATTTAAGGGAATTTGATTTTCCAGACAAACTACAATATTGTGAAATGTTTTAACTATGTTCTCTTTAGTGTTTACGGAGATAAAATCAATTAAAAATGTTTCAACATTGCGACTCCACGTTAGACGGTATACCGGGTAGGCCTACGCCCATAATTTTTACCCAATCTAAGAAGAGGTGTGTCACTGATCATTGAACCGTGATCAGATATGATAACAAAATAACATACTGTTAGTATAAAATAAAAACTTTATACTTCTGTGATATTTTTCTGAAAAATAAAAATATTAAAGTATTCACATTTAAAAATGTAGTGTAAAATCAGAATGGGTACCAATATATCTGGACAAAAGCCACTTATAGGTTTCGCTAAAATATTCAAAGCCGAAGACATCATTCACCTTTCATAGTTGGACTTTGGTTTTTTTTTAATCAAATATTAAATTTGAGCATATTTAGCGTGGATCAGTTCTTGCCAAGAGAAAATTAAAAATGTGTCAACAACATTCTATATCTCTGATGACAATATATAAGATATAATCAAAAACAACGCCACCTTTGAATCCAAGCATTTTCGTATGGTTTCCTTAATTAAATATTCAAATTGAACAAACTTTAGAATAAATCACGTTTTAAAACAAACTGCAAATGGCGATCGGTGACTTTTACGGGTACTTCTGACTACCTTAATTTTTTCCTGTTAAAGAGACCCTTTTTAACTCCCTAATTTAATAAATGTTTTATATTAAATGCTTCTGGACATCCGGTGTAATCATGTCAATGGTAACTGCATATTCAATTTCTCACGATTTTACTTAAATATATAAAGCTGGCCTTGACCTTATTGCTTCTACAGTAGTCACGTGTTGCCATATACGAATCCATTTTGCCAATAGCGCACAATATATTGTTCACGCCGACTGGCTAAGAAATATCCAACATTTCAAATGAATTCATAAAAAATGACAAATTATTGATAATTTACTATATAAACCTCCCATGTCTGTCTTCCCGCTTATTCCAAAAATACATCAACTATTTTCTATGTTATTTCAGGAGCTTATACTTTATCAGCAGGTGGTCAACAACCCAATCAAAAACGATCGATCAGTTCAAATGTTCTACAAAGTGGATTCCAGATCTTGGGATCGAAATATCTAGGACGATCGAGGAATTAACCCAAGGAATAGAGAGTCTTAATTAACATAGATGTGTTGTTACATAGGAAGTTTAAATATGCAA